CCTTTGGGTTTTGTACCACTAGCTGGAGTAAGCGCTTTTGTATGGAAAAAAAAAGCGGGATACCACCCCTTATGTTGTACTTGACAAGCTCTACAAAATGCAAATCCATATGAGATTACAATATCACACAAGGTGCCATACATTACATGTCACAGGACAATGAGTTTGTATCAACAGTTGTGATCTTTTAACGATAAAATGAGACTGAACTGCAACAAAGTAAATGCTGTTGTCATCCTTTTTATTTATATTTTAATCTTGTCTAACTGTTTTCAATTTCAAGAAATATATATCATTTCTACGATATTGGATCTGGTCAAACCCCCTTTTTCCACCTCATATATTCTCTCCCAACCTCCTTACTTACCTCAAATGTTCTCTCAAAGTTAGCAAATTCAAACAGCCTAGCCTGGTACCCTTCCTGTAGGACTGCATCTTAAAATATAACAAATCAACTGAACAACAAAAAATAAATATTCCAAAAATCTAGTAAACAAACTGTTGCTGAAATGAATAAGAAATATCTAACATCATTACACACTTTGAAATATGTCAAACATTATTTGTCAAGAATACAGTAACCAAGCTTGAAATGATTAATTATCTTTTATTCTAGGACCAATTTGACTGCAGACAGGGCAGCTCACACCTTTCCATTAGTTCTTTGCCAGTGTGGCGTGACAGCGAGTCCCATCACAGAGAGTCCAGTTCCCAAAAATTTGCACAGGTAAGCCTCGCCCTAAATTTTGAGCCACTTAAATCAGGCTGCCCTTAACCTCTATAATTAAATAGACTCTCTGTAACATGGACTCTCAGCTTCGGCACATCTTTATTACAATGTTCACATGAACCTCAGTGGTGTTGGTACTCACGTGGGCTAGGTGTGCCAGGTTGTCCCTGTGACCTGGATGTTAAGGCTTCCCTGGCAGATATGAAGAACACCCTGTTCTCTGCCTCCTGTCTGTTCACCACCTTCAGCTCATCCACCAGAAAGGCTATGTTCCTGTCTAAATGCTGCTTACGGACCTAAGGGGTTACAGAGAAGATATATATATATATATATATATATATATATATATATATATATATATATATATATATATAGGCTAGATGCCAAAAATAGCATAGGCCAGAGAGGTCATTATAAACACAGATAACAGGACACATATATCAAATATTAAACACTCTTTTTTGCTCTTGTTTAAAAAACATCTTAAGCTTATCTATCAAGAAAAAAATTTAAAAGCATTTACACATCTAAGGTTGCTGTAGATGATATATATATAACCCCCCCCCCTTTCTCTCTCTCTCTAAAACACCACCCCCTCTCTCACCTCCTCCATCATCTCGGGCTCACTGGCGGAGGCATCCCATCTGTTGTTCAGGATAAAGATGTTGGGCTTGGATAGTTTATCACTCACTCTCAGAAAGAAATTCTTCTCCTGTAAGGAAAAATAAAGAAGTGATTAGTAATACAAAGAATGTACATCAAGTTGTTATCTAATTGGGTGAATTTAAGGCTACAAATTTATGCTGAAAGCTATCAAATGAAGAATTAAATTTGATATAAACTGAAGATTCTCTGTTGCACTTATGTTTATCATAAATTTTAAGTGTCAATGCGAAAAATGCATCCGCATCATTTATCTAGAAGTAGATTAAGAATCAAAATCACTACTCACAGTTTGCATCAAAGTGGACTCGGCATTGGCAACTAGTACAAAGACATCAGCATCCAGACAGAATTTATCTATCCAGGCATCTGTGTCTCCCGAAACATCTACACCAGGGCTGAAATAGACATTCATGACCAGGCTTAAAATTTTTCCTGAGACATAAACCATGGCACTAAAATAGACTCATATTTTATGACCACCCTTAAATATCGCCATGAGTGAAAACGACAATAATACAGGCTTGAAAATTGACCTTCAAATTTGAAGCAAAGCCTCAAAATGGAGATCAAACAAAGCCTCCTCAAACATCTACGCCAGGGCTGAAATAGACATTCATGACCAGGCTTAAAATTTTTCCCGAGACATAAACCATGTCACTAAAACAGACTTCTGTTTTAGGACCAGGCTTTAATATTGCCACGAGTGAAAAAGACATTAATACAACCAGGCTTGAAAAAATTGTCAAATTTGAAGCAAAGCCTTAAAATGGAGATCAAAAAGTATATAAATCATGCAGGTGTGTCAGAGATACACCCACTGGCAAGTCTTTAGCCAGAATTTGGAAACAGGCTGCCCATAATAACCTCAATGTTGGTTAAACAACCAAGTATTGTAAAAAGCCCTCCAGCAGTTTTACGCTGAAACACTCCATCCATATTAGGACTAGTGGACTCCCTGGCTAAATTCTTGGATACATCAAAGGGGCTTTCATTTGTGGAAATCTTGTTATTTGTCACCCACCTGTCCACCAGTACCACATCATCTCTGAGCAAGACACACTTCTCCTTGGGCCACTTGATTTTGATCAAGGCACTGCTGTCTAGCTTCACTCCACTCAAAGCATGTGCCAGCTCACGGACAGACTGAAATATTGAAGTTACAGAGGATTATGATCAAGGCACTGCTGTCTAGCTTCACTCCACTCAAAGCATGTGCCAGCTCACGGACAGACTGAAATATTGAAGTTACAGAGGATTTTGATCAAGGCACTGCTGTCTAGCTTCACTCCACTATACTGATCAGGGCATGAGCTATGGCTGGTTTGATTGAAGTAGAATGCAGCAAGATTAATCCATTTCTCATTTCAAATTCACTAGATTTATATACAACACATTAAGGCTGCAACGGGGACAGCACTGTTTTTTTCTACTTGGAATTTATACTATATATTTATTATCAAATTAATTTGATTTTAAATCGGGTCCCAATGTGTCAAAAAAAAATCTATTTTCAAAGTTTTTTTTTCTTTTAGAATGACTTACATGTATACTTTTCTGTTCATCTGAGTCCTCTGTGAGCAGGTATCCTTCATGTGTGTCTGAACCCTCCACCTGTACAAAGCAGTTAGTGGTGTGTCCTATACCACTGGGTAGCAGCTTGGTCTTCAACATGGCATTGATCACTGTGCTTTTACCATTTGAGGTCCTGCAGTCATCAATGATAATCATTAATGATAAATAATTAATATATAGAGGATATACAGTTAATAACCTAGTCCTAAGGTTTCCTCTGTAACCTATAGGACCTCATCAGAAAACTTGAAACAATAAGCGATGAAATGAAACTCCTGAACGACTAAAAAAATACATTGAGTTAGTATGCAGTTTAAAGTGCTACCACAATACAACTTTAAATCACATGAGGATGATTACCACATAATGTTCACAGTAAACTCAAACATATCTTAAGTTATAGTATTTAATTTGTCCCATCCAAACAATAAAATTTGAAAACAAGTGCCCCTTAGAATCCTGGTCTAATGCAATAAAACATGCTGTACCTTCCAAAAAAGACCACCTTCATATGGTCCCTGGACAGGACCTCTCCAATACCAGCCACTTTCCCCTTGAAGGCTTTCACTTCTTCTAGCTGTTCACGGGTAACAATGTTGTCTCCTTCTGGTATGCCTGATGTATTATACATAATAATATAATATCATAACACAAATTCATCATTTCATAATGAGGAGAGAGAGAGAGAGAGAGAGCTAGAGAGAGAGAGATAGCATTACAAAAAAAAAAGTACAACACAAAATGAATGAATAGGCAACCCTATTTGTTTATTTCACTTACCAGTAAGAAAAGCATCAGATTCGCTGATATAGCTTGTAATGGTCTTGAAGATCTCATTGACTTTGTTCTTGGCATGTCCAAATATTTTGAGAGGGGAGGCGGTGTGACCATGGCCATTGCCTAGTTGGCGTGGAGGTGTGTGGGGAGATTTCGACATCGGGTAGCGAGAGTGGTCAACAATGCCGGACATGGTAGATCAAAAACACTAGGAGAAGAAAGCATGAAATATTATGACCACATCATTTTAAGTTTTCATCATTTGAACACCACCTTGCAATTTACAGATTTATACTAAGTTTTATTTAAAAAATGTACATTGTCAAGGATATTGCTACAGTATGCAATACAGCGCAACTCAGCACAATACATTAGAAAAAATGAGTCCAGTCCCAAGCAAAATAGGGTAAGTAATATTGTTGATGCAACTTCACAACTCTGCACAACTTGTTTGTCGTCAGGTTGACGTGACAGGTAAAATAGAAGTTTGAGAGCTCCAACACTGTGGCTGCTTGGGCTAATGGTCTTCATAACACGTTTTCTGAGGCTTTTGCGTCAGCAGAGCGTAGATATCAACATCGTCCATAGGAGTGTTAACAAATGAATGTCGTGACGTGATATGTCAAATCTAAATGCTACAGAGAAGTATACAAATTTGAAGTGGCTCTCATCCATGGAATATAAATTAATGTTCTGCGTATATGGTTAAGGTGGCACAACAACGAAAAACTGTATATTCTCCACTTACTAACAAAAGCAGAAAACAATGAAATTTCACATACAAATGCACAGTGTCTGACTCAACCTACGCACGTTCTCCCATTAAAGAGCTCTACGCCGATTATGAGCCAGTTGACGACCAAATTGAAGGAAAACTCAGCCAAAAATAGATGTGCGTGTACCTTTTTTGAGTAAAATCCTTTCTCGAGTACTGTTTGTCTTCGGAATTAAAAACTGACGTGTTTTTAAAAGGTTTACGTAAGGTCGTCAGCTTCTGAAGGACTCCATGCTTTTTCTCATTTCCGAGATTGCGCGAGATGCAACTAAAAAGAAAGATTCAGAAAAGTGAGAATTCAAGGTCATTGGTAATATATAAACTAGAATTAATGGATAAATATATTTACATTACAAATATCTGATCGTCACAACTTATACCATTTATCATTTTTTAAAGTATGGAACATGGATGAATCTAGATTTTTAAGATACCGTTTGTTCCGTATCGATCCCCAAGTTTATGTATTCCTTGCGCCAAATTTCAAAATGGCAGACGATGAGGACTATGAAAAATTGGCGCATCAACAGGTATAAGGGGTATATTTATCCCAAATATGTATCCTTGATTGCAATTATTTATTAAATAGCATAAAAGCTCCGTTTAAGTTATTTGGTGTCTGCTGCTTTCTCCATAAAAAATGCTTAAAACCGCAGCTCCTCCCCTCCCCCCCCCCCAAACGGGTCCCTAACTCGTCTCCGTGATGCTATCGCTTTGTAGTAATGCTTTAGTGAATTAAAGTTCAGTACGCATAGTAACGAATGTGCCCGAAATAATATTAATTGCAGGCCGGAAAAGGTCTGCTCTGAAGTAACAGTTTATCTAGTACAGAGGTTCTGTGCCATTTATCAAGTTGTGTCAATTAAGAGGGTAGATCTACGTCAAAAGGTCCACATTTTCAGAAAAAGAACTCATGTTTTGACATTGGTGCCTTCAGACCAATACATGAGTAGATCTACTGGTAACCTTGCTTCTCTCATCATTAGGGCATATCCAGAGATATTTTCTGACAGTCTTGCAAGTTACCTTTGTTGATCCATCCAGCATTTTTGTTCATCTTACAACAGAAAAAAAAAAATAGATGCCTGTCAATCAACTTGAAAAAAGGCATCCATCCGCCATTGCATTATGTAAGTGCTTTTTTTACATTTCAGAAACTGAAGGCTGCCGTCCACTACACTACAGGACAGATATGTGAGGAGTTTGCCGAGGAGGAAGAGGTCACTTATAGCAGACAGTTCATAGCAGCCGTCACAGAGGCCGCATACAAACAGATACAGTCATATGGCAGGGACTTGGAGCTGTTTGCTAGGTATGCAAAGAGAGAATGTAACATTATTTCAGGGATGAGACTGCCATTTAGTGAAAAAAGGCTGAAAATATGGATTTGGGTCCAGGGGGCCTTCTTCATGGATCTCAAAAATGATATTTTGGAGAGGGTGGTCCAAAATGTTGGATATCCACCAATAATATAAAAAAAAACTCATTACTGTTATTTNACAACAGGAAAAAAAAAATAGATGCCTGTCAATCAACTTGAAAAAAGGCATCCATCCGCCATTGCATTATGTAAGTGCTTTTTTTACATTTCAGAAACTGAAGGCTGCCGTCCACTACACTACAGGACAGATATGTGAGGAGTTTGCCGAGGAGGAAGAGGTCACTTATAGCAGACAGTTCATAGCAGCCGTCACAGAGGCCGCATACAAACAGATACAGTCATATGGCAGGGACTTGGAGCTGTTTGCTAGGTATGCAAAGAGAGAATGTAACATTATTTCAGGGATGAGACTGCCATTTAGTGAAAAAAGGCTGAAAATATGGATTTGGGTCCAGGGGGCCTTCTTCATGGATCTCAAAAATGATATTTTGGAGAGGGTGGTCCAAAATGTTGGATATCCACCAATAATATAAAAAAAAACTCATTACTGTTATTTGCAATCTAAGATTTTGGTTGTTTGTGTGATGTACACATGTTCACAGAGTGATTTTTTTTCCAAGTTAAACTGCCAGCTTGAGTTTCTGAGAAGTTTCTGTTAGTATATAATAAGCTTTGGTAACCAGTTTTAAATATAATTTCAAATTTTAAATATTAACTAGTACTTTGTTTCATATCCATTTAGCTCAGATTGATTTGTTTCGAAATTCCTGAATGACTAATTATATTAATTGTTATATATAACGTATACAGAATGCTTGTGCTACATTGTTGTTATACATGTAATGTATATTTAATATTAACAGGCATGCCAAGAGGATGACCATTCAGCCTGATGATGTGAAGTTACTTGTGAGGAAAACCCCACAACTGGTAGGTAGATTCACCTTCAAGTTGAAACATTTCAATGTTTTAAACTAGCATACAAAACATTATAGGAATAGGTTGAGGGTAAGGATTATGAAAATAGGATTATTTTTTAAAAGCTAAAACTTTTTTTCTTGTAGTTGTTTATATCTCTTAAGAACTCTAAGTTTAGTTGAAATTTTATACCAGTCCTGCAAACAAGATAAATATGACGTGGTGATGGCCGATTGCCTTTAAAATTTACTTTTGAAAAAAAAATCTGTACAAAACTCTGAAGAAATAGGCAAGCAGCACTGTATTGCACTTATAGTGATGTCTATAGGTAGAATTATAAAATAATGTCAACAAAAAGTATTTATACAATTATTAGTACATTATTTCCCATCAAATTCTGGCTAGCTATTAAAACCATTTTCATCCCTTCAGCATGAATACATCAGTCAGTTGTGTAAGGATGATGAAGAAGACAATGGACAGAAGAAAAAACGGGGAAAGTCAACGAATAAAGGAGGCAAGAAAAAAACAAGTTCAACATTGACTGACACTACAAATATAGGAGAAGACTCCAGTGAATCACGCCTGTTCCAGGACAGTTGACATGGTATTGAGGAGAGGTTTATGGTAAAAGTTTTGCTACATGTCACAGTTATAGGATAATGATCCTCAGAGAAGGGTGTGTTGGATCAGGCAAAAAACTTAGACTAAAGGCTTGACTTAAATTTTGTGTCACTATTTTTATGTTTTCGTAATTGGTGATGTGTTGTTTTGAAAGTAGTGTTATAAAAAGCACATAACAAAAAGCAAATATGTTAGTCAATCAAAGGTATTCTGAACTAAACCTCTTCTTGAACATCATAGTTGAAACAACAGCTACATCTGTCTGAAAGATTTAATGTCTTTATTGAGATCTTGTTAATATTTAATCAGACCTCTTTTGTGTTTCCATATATTGAACAAATCATTGTTTCAGTTAGATCATCCATACGTTATGTAAAAAGAATCAGCAGTATGTACCAGGTACATAGATAAACTTTTAAGGTCTTTTTTCATAAACAGTTGACTGTACACATAAAACAATTGAACGTTTAAGTCATGATTAAAAAATATTTATATGAAATTCACAAAAAAATCTGTTGCTTCTTGATATGCAAAAAAATTAGCCTTAACCAAAATAATACACTGAGTAAAAATGTTTTGTAGAACAAACCACTGTTTACTTGTTCAAGTAAAATACACATTTCAAATATATGAAACTTATTGCTTTTGTTTGTTGCTTCAACAACATTCGACAAATTGCACAACGTATATTGCTATTTATCCAATAATATCAGGTGCTTATACATATTTTATACACCGAGCAAAAAATATAAATGCCCCATGCAATACCTGAAGCATTTTATCAGCATTATGTGTTTCATATGCATTAAATCATACAAAGTAAATTTTGTTCAAAGTGCTACAGATCACTGTCTGTAGCCCATTACATGTTGTTATTGACATGGGGAATTTATATTTTTGCTCAGTATATGATATACTTTTGGCACAATCAAGGGATTCTTTGGTGTTTCATCATTAAGTAGTAAAAAGAATCTATATAATGATATAAAAGTCTAAAAGGAGTTCTCAAATCTACAATATTACTAATTTGAAATATAGAGAATGAACTTTAAATTTGTGTAAAATTGTTTGAATTGATGCATTCTGTGATATATTTAATGTAATGTAATTGTTATACATGTACCAGTTGATTATCGTTTCTAAAAAAAAAACAAGAACTTCTGTTTACTGGTGGTCTGGAAATATCCTTTTAATTTGTTTTGTATGCTTCTGTTAGGCATAATGGGTGACGTGACCAGCTGACATCTTCAACAACTGTACATGTATAACAAAAGCACACTGATCTGAAAACAGTCTTTGTATACCAAGTCATACCTTGGACTAAGACCCAAGTCCCTGCAGTATTTAACTCCAGGAGTATTTAAAAAGATGCCAAAGCACTTCTAAAGCACTTCAGACCATAAGTAAGCAATTTTCCCTAGCAAATAGCCTGAGCTTCAGACATTTATTTTTTTAACAAAATTTTAACTCTAAAAAACTGAAGAATATAAGTCTTTTATATAAACCTAGTATGACATTTCTGAGGCCCACATAAAGAAAGCAGGCTTAATATCAATCTATTTCCCAACTGTACCACATGGGGACTTCATATAAGATCTAAAATATTTAGACTCTGACTGCCTTTGATCGGTTCATCTGATAACTTTCCAAAACATATTTTTGGAAGGAATTCACTCTATAGTCTTGTTTTTATCATTATACAAAATTAAATTTGTTCATTTCATTTCGCATGGCCAAACTGATGAGAAGCATGCATCTTCACATTTTCATTTTTTCCATTTTTCTAACCATTCCATACATACTCTTCACATTTATTTCACAATGGTAGTGATCCCATAAATCAAGGAAAAAATCCTGTACAAGTGGAGTATTCCTAAGCCTTAATGTCCCTTTCCCTCAATTCGTTGATGGGTTTTCCGCTGACCCTCGACTCAAACAACAAGCACATGTCGTGGGCCGTCTGCCCCTTGGTCTCTGGGAGCTTGATGAAGGTGAAGAGCCAGAACAGAGCCAACAGTCCCGTGAATGGCAGGAAAGAGTAGTTCCCTAGGTTTTTCTGAAACGTACAATGAATTTGGTTTTGAACCAAGTTGAAGCTTTTTTGGATGTATTTCACAGTTGTTTACAGCAGTTCCATCAGTTGTTACAGTTAACTTAAGTCCCCCAAAAATCATTCGAGATGAGTGTACATGTGATCATACAAGTCTAGAAAATGTGGGATTCTAGGTTGGACAAAAGCAAACTTTATTTCCTAACCATGTTCAAATTATAAAAAAAGGCCAGAAGATTAAAAAGGAGGCGGAGCGGGCCTGTTTCCCTAGCATCCCTGTGCATGGGTACAGCAGTCCTACCATAAAGTTAGATGCCCAGTTCCATGTACTTACCTGCATGGTTGGGTACAGCAGTCCTACCATAAAGTTAGCTGCCCAGTTCCATGTACTTACCTGCATGGTTGGGTACAGCAGTCCTACCATAAAGTTAGATGCCCAGTTCCATGTACTTACCTGCATGGTTGGGTACAGCAGTCCTACCATAAAGTTA